TTGACACAACATCCACCCAGGGTCTTCCACTGGGACCCTTGGCTACACAGGGGCACAGGGAATGGTGCCCCAGGCCCAGGCCGCCCTCACCAAGTCCTTGTTAGAGGGCAGAGCCCCGACTTGTCTTCTGTTCGGGGCTCGGGGCAGGCGGCTGAGGCCCTGCACCCCTACCGCCACCCCTAAGGCCTTTCCAGCAGGGCGTGGACCACAGCAGCGATGTGGGGGAGGCCCCTGCCCGGGGCCCCCTCCTCCTCCAGGATGTGGTGGGGCTGGCACAGGGACTCCTGAGGGGAGGGGCCCACGTTAAGTTCCCCCTGCCCTGGGCCCGGAGGAGGAGGGAAGGTCAGGGGTGCCCTGGCAGACACTGTGCCCACAGTCTGAAACAGATGAAATGCGGAGAAGCCAGCGGGTAACATACGAGAGCTGACACCAGGGGCCAAGGCTAAGGGGGCAGGAGAAGGCTGTCATTTCCAGAGGGAAATGCCGAGCAGGCAGGCTGGCACACAGAGCCCGGAGGCCGACCAGGAGCAGACACAAACACACAGAGGCAGCCACAGTCTGTACAGTTTATACACAGAGCCAGGGACCCATCCTGGGCCCCCACATCCTCTACAAATATAGAGTTCTCTCTACAAAATAGAGATAATTTAGCCCCCCCATAGCAGCCAGTGGGGGAGGGAAAGAGTGGCGCTCTCGCCATCCCTGGGGGCCCAGGGCAGCGCAGAGCAGGAGAGGCTTGAAGGCACCATCAGCACTGCGGGGCAGGGGCTACAGGAGGGAGGCCAGAGGCGGGGGGCCCAGGGTCCAGGGGCACCACAGTGGAGCCTCTGAGGTCAGAGTCTGTGAGGGGTACGCTAGTGTCTTTGGTAGGGGCTGAAGGCACCACTGGTGGGGGTGGGGAGATGAGCAGGAATCTTATAAATAGAAATGGGGAGGGGGACTGTGGCCCTAGGAACCCAGGAGACGAGTGTAGACGACATAGAGCAGCAGCATGAGGACCACGTAGAAGAAGATGAAGCCACCCAGACCCGAAGGGGGCCAGGCAGGTGTGGGGGCCTTGCCCCCCACCCGCTTCACAGCCTCTAGTGTGGTCCGAAGCCCCTGGGCAGTGCCCTGGAGGAGATCTGAGGGCGAGCACAGGTCAGCCTGGGAAGGAGGGCAGGGCAGTGACAAGGACAGAGGACAGATGTCAGCAGCAGCAGCCAGACAGTCCTTCCCACCCCCACCCTCACATGCCATGGCCAGGGCCACACCAACACGGAGACATGCGGGGCAGGGACGCGTGCGGGCAGGGAGGCGAGCAGGACAGGGAGGCGAGCAGGGCAGGGTGCGCTGATCCGCTTCTCTGGGGAGCAGACACCCTGTGAATGGAACCTGCCACCCATGCAAAGTGCTCGGGGAGCCCTGGCCACCACCACCACCCTTCAGAGCACAGAACAACCCTCATACCTCAGGCACTCCCATTTTTTGACAGGCTTCTAAGAAACTCTCCACATTCTTCCGAGACTTGAGGGCACTGAGTTTTGGCTGAGAGTAAGAAATGAACAGAGAGGAGGGCAAGGGGATGTAAAAAGAAATAAAATGTGTTATGTGCACATACCAACTCCCCATGATGAATAATCATTATGTACTGCAAACGTACCAATAAAAATCTAAAACAGTATGAAATGAACAGCGGATGAGGAAAAGACCACTGGCGCCCCTGTCCCCCTTCACTTCCCCCGCGCCCCACTCACCACAGCAGGCGAGGGCACGTGGATGAAGGGCACGCAGCGGGGCCGGAGCTGGTTGGCCAGCTGACAGAGGATGACCCCATTGGCCAGAGCCTCGGCCAGGTCCTCAGGCAGGGGCCGCTGCAGCCTTGACTCAAGGATCTGGGGGAGGGGTATCAGGGAAGTCACACCTGCCCCATCCCACCTCGGGGGAGCTCTAGGGTAGGAAAGAGGGTGTTGAGGGACCTGGGGAAAGGAGGTGCCATACTAACTCCAGGCCACCCACACGGTGCCACCTCTGCTTACCTGGCGTAGTTGAGACATTAATTCCTTCTCATCTGGAACCTGGCTGGGAGGCCGAGGTCTCAAGACATAGTCTGGTGAGGAAGGGCCTAGAAAGAAAAAAGAAGACACAAGGTTGTCTCCACACACATGGATTTTGTCACCAGCTCCCAAGGGTTGGCACCACCCCTCCAGCCTCTTTGCTCGTGGAATTCTGACACAAAGGGCCAACAGACCTAGAGAGCCCATAGGCCAGAAATGACACCAGCCCCCCAATTAGCTGACCAAAGCAAGGGCAGTGCAGGGGAGGAAAGAGACCCACCTGAGCCACTCTGGGAGGAGGAGCGGAAGAGGAAGCTGTTCGGTCTCTGAATGGAGCCGTGTGGCCGGGGAGCAGGTGCTATCGCTGGGGGCCAGTGCCAGGGATGAGGACAGGTGAGAGAGGTTTCCCGTCAGTGTCCCACTCTCCCCTCAGGCCACCAGCTCCCAGCCACCCCATCCTCCTCCCAAAGTCCCTGCACACCTGGTCCAACCATAGGAAGGGGCTCCTGTGAGGCAGGAGCAGGTGTGGGGGCTCCCTGTGACCCTGAAGCTCCCAGGGGGGTGGCGCTGGGCTTGGGAGGCCCACTGAGGAGAGACAGAAGGGAATTAGAAGTCTGGTCAGAAGACCCTGGGACAAGTGTCCAGGAGGGAACCTACTTGTGGGTGGCCTGAGTGGATGGGGTAGCTCTGCCCCCCGTGGCCCTGACGCCCAGCTTCAAGAAACTGTAAGAACAGGAGAGGTGCAGTCAACTGGCAGGCAGACTTCAGCCCAAGGGCCAAGTGGCCCAAAGGAGCCCACTGGCCAGCAGCAGCCCTCGCCAGCCCTGGACCTGCACCTGTCTTTCCGGGGGGCCCCCCAAGCCCCACTCTGCTGTTGCTGTTGCCGCTCCCGCTCCTGCCACAGCTGCAAGCTGTCTGGGCGTCGCCGTTCCTCCCCAGCTGGTTCCTCACGCCTGGACACACAGGAGGACATCCTAGTCAGGGCCAGGAGAGGGGCAAGGGGCTGCCAGTAAAAGGCAGGGGGCAGGCTCAGGCGGGGGCTGGGGTACCTGCTGCTGGGTCCCCGTTCCCCGTCCCCTGCCGCGGGGCTTAATTCAGGAGGCCGCTGCTCCTAAGGAGAGACAGCAGAGGGTGAGAGGTGGCCTGGACCCGACAGGACACCTCACCCTCTCTAGCTCCTCTTTTACCGCAGGAGGGTCATTGCTGGATCCTCACCTCAGCTGCACCTCGCTCTTCATCATCCCCAGGGTCATGGCTGTCGATGAAGTCGATCTGCTCCGGGTCTCCATCAGCTGGAGGGGCCAAGGCATGTCAGTCAGCTAGCAGGAGGGGGCCCACTGCCCTTGCCCATCCTGGCCTCCCCGGCCCAACTCTCCTCACCAGAGCCATCATCCCTCCGTTCCCTGGGTCCTCGAGGTTCCCGGGTCAGCTCTGAGATCCGAAATGACAGCTCTGAAAATTCATCTGTTGACTGAAGGCAGAAGGGGGAGAGGGGAGGGGGGGATTTCTGAAGTGCTGGGGGCTCATAGGGCCCCAGGCCTGCAGAGCCCTGTGAGGGACTGAGATTGGGGTCTGTTGCTGAGCCAGCCCGTTAAGGCACAGTGGGGAAGGCAAGGAAGAGTTCCAGCTACCACCTGTCACTCTGAGATTCAGAGGTACCAGGCAAGGGGTCCCCAGGCCAGAGGTCCTCTCCCACCACCGACAGCCCGTGGAAAGGAGGCCTTTACCTCATTTCCAGACCACCTTTTGGTGCCACTGTCAACGCTGTGGAAGCCTGAGTCCAACCCACCATCGTACCGACGTCCCGGAAATAGATCCTCAGCCGGGCTGGGGGGCCAGGGAGACTGGTCAGACCCATGCTAGCAGCAGCCCGCCTCATCCTCCCACCAGAATCCAGGGGGATCCCTGGGACCAGGAAGAGACAGAAAGTATTCCAGGCTTCTTTCGTTCCCACTGAGACTTACCAGGGACTGAAACTCGGGAGACGGGAAGGTGCCAGGTCCCCCAGAGCAGCCCCATGCCGTCCGGCCTCTGTTGATAAATACTTGAAGATGTGAAGTTTCCCCTTCAAGCAGATCTGTGAGGAGATACAGGTAGGGATGTGAGGAGGGAAATGGCTCCCCAGATCCTACTGGGCTGCTATAAGGGTACCCTCCACACCGTGGCCTAATGGCATCCCTGCCCCCAGGCCCACCCTGCCCGCTCCTCACCTGGGCAGGCGGGCTTTGCAGGGGGTTGCTGTCCAGCAGAATGACCTGCAGGTGCCTGAGGCGGCAGAAGGAGACCGGGATGCGGGAGACACGGTTACAGGAGAAATCCAGGCGGACCAGAGGAAGGTCCCCCAGCTCTGGCGGGTGGGTGAGGGA